AATCGATCTGAAGTATGCTTTTTGGTCATGAGCTCTTGGTCTATATGCATGTGAAGTGCAGAACATACACTGGCGATCAAAAGTGAGTGTATTGTGTTTTTACTTAAATTTAAATTTGCAACGTTTTTCAAGTTAAAATTTTTTTGTTATTTTTTAGAAAAGATGTGGTCCATGCAAAAAATGTGGTTATTTTATAGAAAAAATGTGGTCGACAGTTCTAAGTTCCGTTAAATTAAGTTAAGTTGCCATAATCAGGCGTTTAGTGAACCATTAGTAAATTGATACCGAAGTAATGAAAAGTGGTGGGTTAACTCTATTGTTAACTAATGACTGTGAAAGCGATGCCAAGTGAACATAGTAACGCTTTTTAGAATCCAAAGCTGAAAATTAAAAAAAAAAAACCACCATCACAATAAACAATTAACGAATGTATGTTATAATTCGTGCAGCTGAGATTATAAAACTGCTCAGCGAAATCCCTGAAAAATTTGCAAAATAGTAGCTGGCCAAATACGACTACGTAAGTACATACTTACATACATATGTACGTATGTATATGCCTCTGAGGAAAGAGAAGTTAAAGCAAAAAATTTCCAACCTCAAATGCTGCAATAACAATAAATGTTAGTGAGGGGAAAAGAGTGTAGACAACCAGTTCACAGAGAATGCCAAACAGTTTATGGCTTTTTCAAAAGTCTGGCCAACATTTAGTACCTCGATAACCAAGCAAGCAGGCAGAGAGTCGGCCGTCCGTTCAGCTCAGTGCTAGCGTAGTGTACAATATTGCGATTTATACTTGAAACGTAGAGCGCGACGTAGATCTCAAGATGTTTGCAGCAAGATTGCCAGTGAGCTAATGGCAAAACATCGGTGCAGCAATACCGCAAAGAGGCCAAAAACGCTATGAAAAGTCGAGTCGAGAGGCAACTAGTTTCAATCAGAGCGCCGCTCAATCGAGTGTAGAGCAAAAATATGTACGCCAAAGAGTTTGAGAGAAAAATTGAATCGAATTGAGAGGATGATTGAGCGAGCGAGCTGCTGTGGAATTTCATGGCTAATAAATATATGTATGCTAATAAACAGCTTGTTACAGCAACGCGCAGCATCACCTCCTGTTTGTAATCAGAGCAGAAGCAAAACAATAACAAACACTCGATTGATAACAATTTCACTGATAGTTGGTAGTTTTGGATCGCGCGCAGCTATTTCGAGCCGGAAAATTTAAATGAACTTTACAGCTGGAACGCCTAACGGCGGGTGCATAATTATTTAGTATTGCCAGTGTTACAATTTTAAATCGACATAACGACAGCGTATCGCTGTGATCAAGCACCAACAACGACGAGTGGCATTTGCTGCCTAGGAAGGCAACTAAACCGCAGCCCAAAATGGACAAAGAAAGCTGAAGTGTTTTTGTATCTTTTGTGTTTTGTCTTTGTGTTGTTTGTTATCCGATATTTCGATGACGAGATGAAGAAACGAAAATGCTTTCTTCGGTCTGGTATTAATTAATTATTGAGCAACAATGGCTGAAGTAGCATATTTGCATACGTGTAGACGGGACAGGTGGAAATTAATGCGACAGATGAAGCTAATAGTGGATAGTGTTACTTCATGGCAGGCCAGGCATCATCGACTTCATTAGCAACTATGTGATTTTTTTTTAATAGCTGCTACATTTTTTTTTTGTGGTGTTTATTCGGTGCATTTGAGGATTTGTTTTTAGAAAGCGTTCCAATTTACATGAATAAAATATTTATTCCACTCTACACTTCGAGCCGGTTGGACCAGCGCGCGTCTTAGTCGAAAGTGAGCGTGTGCAGTGAAGGTGCATTGTACGATAAAACGTAACAAGCGAAACGTCCAACTGAAACGAAACAGGTACAATAGTACACTTGTGGTTACAAAAAAGTTGTGCGGCAGCGTGCTGGCCTGTTAATAATCCAACAAACTGAATAAACCATATCGACTTAAAGGCTTGTGAAGTTGCGCCCATGCGCATGCGCGTCCACAGTGAAACTTGTTTATGCCTCCTCCGTGTGTCGTAATCCGCGAGTTTTGCCTTCCGTATATTTGTTTTATTATTGATTCAAATTATCGATACAGTTAATACTCGTAGTCAAAAGCATACGCCAAACATATCTACTCGTAGTTACACATCAGCGACAAGTATACGCGCCACGGCAGCTTTCTAACGGAGGACCGGATCAACCGATTTCGCCGCTCAACGTTATTGACTTTGCAAGCGGTGCGGCTGGACACCCCTTTGTTGTCGTTAACGAACCTCTGCGTCTAATTTGAATTTCAAATTTCTAGCGACAAGTACGTTACTGCGCACTTTCGAACGCTTTGAAACAGTTCCCAAGACGCTCGGAGCATCGCTGTCGCCGCCATTAGCGTTGTAACTCATTGGATTGAGTGGCCGGCCGTTTGCTGAGCTTCGTTTGAACGCTTGCAATCAGCACGGCAGAAGCGCATTTATCGCGCACCGGTCAAACGGTCAGCAGTCACATACATTTAACCACTCGGCGGTCATCATATACGCTGCGTGATCATCATTTAACCATAAGACACAATAGTAGTGATTATTTGAAAAAAAAAACGCGTGAATTCTTCAGTGCAATATTCGTAATATTCTTTGCCATTCGCTAAAAGCTGCACAACTGCAACAATATGAGTCGCGCATCGGTATTATTCATTCTTTTGTCGTTGGTCATTGTCAATTCCGGCGACAACAATCACAGCCATCACAGCAACAAAACAAACAACAACATCAACTATAGTAGTAGAATTAATTCATTCCATCATCCATACAGCAGCATCAACAACACAAAAATAGTAAATCATCCAGTTTCTAGCGTAGGTGCTGCTGCTAGCGTCAAACAAGAATCACAACAACACCAAGAACAACAAGAACCACAGCGCGGCAAGAGAGGTAAGTTCGCAATATAAATTATCTTCATTTCATTGTGTACATACACTATGGAGGAAAAGTGAACACTCAACCGTACGCTCTCTACACGCCTAAATCTCTATAATTTTAACAGTAATGAAGACAAGTAGTTTTTAAGCCAAAAACAAAACTGACTTCAAATCGCATATAAAAATTTGAGATTACCATTAATTTCTTCATGATCCGTTGATCGAGTCTAAGCCAAATTAGTATAATACCACCTCTGAGATATCTCTCTTGCTTAAAAAAAATTAAGAATTATAGAAATCGGTTAATCGGTTTTTTGCATTTATTTTAAGTGTACACCCCGTGTCAAAATTATAAGCGCACCAACTATTAAAATGTTTTAACAACTTATATTTGGTTATTTAATTCAATTTGTTTTATTTATTTATTTATTAAAGTGAAATATACTTATAAATAAATATATTACATACAGCACTACCTACAAAAACCGTATAAATCCAAGTTTCAAGCTTTGTACAATATTAAAAAAAAATTAATATTTTTTATTAGATTTTCTGGACAGATTTTGGGAATGCCGTTTTTAGCCCATTCACTTTTAGTATAAAAAAGTGCAAGTTTCAAGTATCTAAGACTTACCGTTGATTTTTCGCAATTTTTTTTTCTTGAAGGTTTTGCCCATCATAAAAAAATCGTTGAGCGTACTTTGTATGGAAGAAAATGCACAACATCGCCAGCAAAAAAATGCTAAAAATCAACGGCAATTGCGTTGTGAAGGCTCGTGGGGACTACGTCCTATGTATTTATTTTCTGTAACAATTTTTTTTCTTTCAACAAGTGATTCAGAATTTCATTCGGTTTGAGATCGTTGTTTGCAGCTGATAGCAGTAGCAGTTTGAAAGTTTGCTTATTTCATCACATTTATATCTCAGTTTTAAGGTTGAAATTTGATACGTCCTTTTGTAAAAAATCTAACCTCAAATAAGGAACAAAAACATTTTTTTGACTTATTTCATTACTTATAGATTTCTGAGTGCAGAAAATACGCTTAAGTGTTCACTTTTGCTCCATAGTGTATATATTTGCCCATACATACAGACATACATATGTATGTAGCTAAAAGCATATCGTCCTTTAAAGTACAAAACCGCATAACTGACATTTGCGGCCAAAAATTAAATTTGCTCCCATAAGCTCTTGGCTCAATCCTTATCCATTCGTATGGAAATCTACTAGCCAGAAATGCGATTGAAATATGAGTGTTTTTACTATCTAGAAAATAATTTATGTAAGCTCACATATGCGGTTTCGCATTTTGTTGATACGCGGTTTTGTATTTTAAACGACGATATTTGCCTACTAAGCTTTTATTTATTTTTGCTTCTTTTTGCAAATTTAAACAGACTTTTATGGAGTTGCACATAAAAGTTGCATTTAAACTTACTGAAAACTTAAGATTGCTATAAATCAAAGTAGCTCAGCTTATGCTAAGTTCAATTTCAGGTTTAAGTGGTATTTAATAGTAGTCTACTACTAAATTGTTTGTAGCTGATTTTATACTTAGCATCGCAATAAAAAAAACGTTAATTTCCGTATTTGTTCAGAAACAACTAATTTTGTATACCTTTCATGAAAATGAAATGGTATTGTAAAATTGGCCCGATGTTTGTAGGCACCAGAAAAAGAAGAAAGAGCTTACCAAAATGATCAAAATTAAATGATATTAGTAATTTATCAGAACCTGCAAAATCGTACAACTACGACATATGTACATATATTTGCCATACAACTTATTGTTCAGATATTAGGTATTGTCCTTCATTTAGACACTTGATTTTCGGGAGCTTATGATCGCTACTCTATAAGTTATATAATCTCTCAAACAATATTTAGTAGGTTTAAGATAAATTTTTTGATTTTCATGAAATGCAGTATTACAAATTATTGCTAATCGAACAAACCCAAAATACACTGAATGACTTCTAAATAGTACGCTGAGTGCAGACCAACATCAATCGCCCACGTCTTAGATCCGTATGCGCTACCTTTAGACAGATGCTGAGAATATTGACTGGGATTACTATATACACATGTGATGGCTAATCATAGGTCTTCTTCTTCTTCTTTATTGGCGCTGTAGCCACCTACAAAATTCTCTCATGTCTCCGATTCGCTTTGTGGGTTCTATACATGAAATAAGCTAACACGTGTTCGAGGAATTTTTGTTTATTTTTTTTTCTTCGGAGATGTGATCTGTCAAAGTTTGTATTCTTTCGTGATTCTGACTAATCATGTACTTCTTCAAATCGTTATATCTCGGGATCTGCTCATCTCGTAGAGACTCGTAATTTTAAAGCTAATGAAACGGGCTTAACATTTCCATATATAAGATGGTCAAGCTTATCCTAAAGCTAACTTAGCTATTAACAGTTGAACTTTTTAAAGTTGATTTTCATAGTAGAGGCCAGGTAAATTAGGGATTTAAAATTATACCATCGTAAACCTTGTTTAATTCTCGATAAAAAATGGGCGTTTTTCAAGAACTATTTTTAAAATAATTTTCTTTATGACGAGTGACAATTTTTATTGTAATTTGTTTTCGAAAACTTATGAATGTTGAGACATATTTGGTAAGGTGTTAAACATCGGATTTTTGCAAATAGTAAAATTCTATTACGGCTTCCGATCGAATACTTATCCAGATGTAATAGTAAGTAGGCAAGATTTTTCTTTAAGGCGACAAACCCCTAGAAATGGGCGTGGCAATTGCCGGACGAAAGTTAGAAAAACGCAGATTTTATTGCGGATTTCGGCAGAATATCGCTTCGTTAACACACACAGTTGTTCCACAACTGGTTCAATCCAAAAATTCGAACTTTGACAGATATGAATCTCCGAAGAAAAAAAAAGAAAGAAAAAAAAATTCTCGAATACGCGTTAGCTTATTTCGAAAGTCTGACACCAAATTTGGTGCTCGATATGAAAAAAAAAATGTCTCACTTATGGCAATTATTTAACATGTTCAGTGGATAAATTGCTTCTAAACTTCATTTCAAGGCTAATTGTGAAATATAAATACATACATATATATGTACATATTTATTATGTACTTTTATGAACATTTTTATTTATTTTAAAATATTCTTATAGTTGCCCAAACTTTTTGCACTTCAATCTAGAAATCTAGAAAATCCAGAACTGCATAAGTGATAAATCTTTTTAATTGTTCTGTCATGATTCACAAAAATTCTTAAACATGTTTCTTTGCAAAAGTTTAATTTGGTTGGTTGTTGTATGTATTTCAAGTACATACATGTCTATTATGTAAATGATTTTAATAGAAAAGAAAAAAGTGGAACGAAGTGAAGCATGGAAACTAGAATTTTACTAAAGACAGTCATCTTCTTTTTTTCGGGTTTGTTTCATTTGCGCTTTAGAAATTTTTAAATTATAAAAGCGTGTTAAACTAGTTCTTTGATGCTTGCTGTTCTTTTGAGACTACGAGTTTGACTTCAACATTTTAATAAAAAAAAAATCCACGGTATTTTGTTTAAATTCGCGGGGATATGCGGAAAATTAGAGACTCGCCGGAATATTTTTAAGAGAAATATAATTAGCTGATTTTGGCCAACTTATGTATATACTAGGGCGGGAATTTCATCCGGATTTTCAACTATCCGGATAAACCGAATATTCGATATTCCGGAAATTGTGATAACATTCGGATATCCGAATATCCGGATTTTCTTTAGGTCTCCGGATATCAGATATTTATTAATAAAATGCAACATAGGGCGGCCCGGGGTCTATATCTTAAAGTAACAGAGATAATTTTGTAACGACAGGCATTTTACGTATTGTCAGTGACAGTTTGGTGGATGTTTTGTTTCATAAAAACATTCGAAAAGTGACAAATTGTCATTGTCGTTTACAAAATTGTCGCCAGTCATGTGAAATTTATATGTGATTGTTGCATTTGCATTATTTTAGTTTTAAGAAATATTCAAAGTGATCACGACATACATATTTTTACAAAATTCTCCTGTGAAAATTTTCCGACGGAGTTATTTAGTTTTGTCGCTATTCTCACGACAATTTTGTCACAGTGACAATTGTCGGCACCATTATCGACAATATTCCAGTACTGTCACTGTCGCTTAGAAAAAATGTCGCTGACAATTCTGGCTGTGATACTTTACAGAAAAATTGACAATTGTCGCACCTGTCACTTTTATGAAGTAGGCCCCAGGCCACTCTTTTTTATTTAACTGTTTTATTTGATCAGCACCATACTTTCTACTTTAGTTGTATGAGCGCCTGGTATTCGGAAATAAAAATTTCGTTTCGTAAAAATAAAACTAAACCAGATATCCGAATAAATTGCAAAAACGAATATTAACCGGATATCCATATTAACCATATTTTATTCGTGCCAACAGATAATCCACATGGATATCCGGATATTAGAATATGCGAATACCCCCAGCCCTAGTATATACATATAAATTCATATCTTCGATGGCTTATTTTTCAATTGAATTTTTCGTGGATTTGTGTCTTTCATTCTGCATGATGAATGCCCTTGGAATTACATATTAAAATTGACTTTTAGTTCAGTCAGGTTAGACTTTCTCTTGTCTCAAGATCTCTTTCAGTGGATGAAAGTTACTTATAATCTCCATATTAGCAGTTAAGCTGTAGCTCGGCGGTTAGAGGTGCAGCCCAAATTCGATATCTGAATGTCGAAAAAGTCAGGCTATAAAAAAGTTACTCCAAAAGCAGTTTGATTGTATGTACTCTGTATGGGATCCCTGGCCTCATCGACATCCACATGGTGTTTTCCCAATAGCTGTCGCCCCTCAGAAGGCAATGGAAAACTTTCAAAAGTATTTTTGCCGTGTAAAGAGTCTCGCTGAGTAATGCCATGTCAAAGAATGTACGAAACTTTTATTGAATTATGGATTTTTTGAAAAATGTACATAAATACATACTACGTACTTCATTTAAAAGATTTTATT